TCCGTCAGACGCAAGCAAAGAGACGTCACCTTCTCCTCACCAGACACAGGCCAATCAAGACCTGGTGGGTGTTCATCTGATTTATTTGTCTTTTCTCTTTTCATTCTTATTTTGTAGTGTTTTATCATTTTATATTTTTGGGAAGCATTCTACCCCCCTATCTTTCTTTTAATTTAATTTGTCTTTATTCATGCATTATTGCATTTTGATTGCTTATTATTATATTTATTTGGACATGATATGTCTAGATAGTCTAATTCGTTGGATAGTATTCAGTAGAAAGTATATGTAGGATGTGTTATGTTCTTGGAGATCATTTTGGACTCCTCTCCAGGTTATGGATGCTGTGTCTGTTGTTGATCTGAAGTCGGAGAAATGCCCAAGAGTTTGCGGCGCAGATATACTGGAACTTCTTGCCCAGAAGAGAAGCCGTAGTGGACGAGCAAAAGTTCTGGTAGTTGACGTTCGCTCATCAGAAGAGTATCCTTTTATAACTATCTACGAGTTATTGTTAGCATTCAAGGCAATTAGAAATGTGAGAAAAAATATCTATTTATAAACATGTACTGCATTAGCCAAACTAACCAACATGTAATTTCCCATACTTTTGATAATTGGTCTATTTGTTTATAATGGAAAACATGTTGTTTATAAGTTATTGCATCACCATTTTTTTGTTTTTTTCTTTAGTCTACAGAAAATATTAATTTTCAAGTAGTTTTTCATTTGCTTATATAAAAGATTTATTTTTCATTGTGTTGCAAAAAACATTCCTTTTTCATTTTGTTGATGAAAATATTTGTTTACAATTTTGTTGCAGAAATATTTTATTTTCCATTTTGTTGCAGAAACATTTTATTTTCCATTTTGTTGCAGAAACATTTTATTTTCCATTATGTTGCAGAAACAGTTTATTTCCCAGTGTATTACCAAAAGTATTATCCTTAATAAGATCATTCAGATTTGCTAGAGGAACCTTATCAGAAGCCATAAATCTGCCTGCTGAGTCTTCATTAACGCCTGAAAGTGTACTAGTTCCCGGCCCGCAAACTGATGCACTGAATTCCTATCGTGGTAAAATAATCGTGATTATGGGATCCCGCAGTAATAGGGATCAGGTAAATAAGGTAAGTCTAAATTGTTTGTTCATAAAATTTTTCTTTCTTTGCTTCATATTTTGATATATATTTGTGCAAGTGTACATTATTGTTATGATTATGATTGAATTCCTTTATTTTTCCAGTTTGCAGAGAGTCTGTTAGCACAGGAATTCCCTCGTGTCTGTACCCTACACAAGGGCGTGGAAGTGTTCCGGGCGTCGGGGGCACTGATGGTTCCGTCATAAGCCTCTGGTGGGGATATGACATGGTTGCTGGATTTATATGACAATATTTTGAAATGTTATAATCTATTTAAATAGTCTTTATATATATTGTATTTTATTTATTGATATATAAGTGGTGTCAACACTGGGGAATAAAAATAAAAAATGACTCAGGTATAATGATGGTTGATCTAATGATGGTTTTCATTTGTCCGCTGATGTTACATTTATTGTGCATGTCCAAATTTCAGTATGTATTATGATTATTTACTTGGTTATATTTTAAATCCCTTTCTCTGTACTTTAATTCAGTATCAAATGAGAGAGAGAGAGTATAAGAATGAAATAAGAAAAATATATATTTCAGTCCCCATCTCATCTACTTAGAATACTCATTCTTTTAAAATGTATGTAACTTGGGAGCTAAGTTGGTGTATGGTGTTGTTGGCTGTGTTAAGGTAAACTGTACATACCAATTTGTATTTTAAGGTAAACATATACATATTGTATACACTAACATATATGCAATTGATTGGGGTATATTTATTTGCATGCCTGTTATATATGTATATGTAGAAAATACACAGAAACACATGCACACACACACACAGACACACACATTTGAATGTTTTTGTATTTATGCAAACATGTATACAATACATGCTTTGTAATGGTCTGTATCCACACACTTGTACAGTATATGTATTATTTAGTAGAGGAAAAATTATTGTTGAGAATTATGTGCCAGACCAAGCATTATGCAATGGACTTCTAGCTCTTTTAAGTAATGTTTTGTTTTGATAATAAATGGTACGTGATATTTATATATTGTTGAAGTGAAGATCTGTTTAGTAAATGTATGAAATTAAACCAAAGATTTTTTCTTTCTTTTAACAGAAGAAATACATGAATAAAAATTATTAATTTACTGACCAATTCCAGTGTATTTTTGATGAATGTAATTTGAATTATTTTTGTCAATTATTTTGTAAATAGTTGACTTTCCTTCATGAGCATAGAAACAATTGTATGCAGTGTATCTTCCAGTATTTGATCATGAAGAAATAAAATAACATAAAGGCTGTTTTATAATTTTTATTACACTAAACCCAAATATATAGTCGCCTATACAAGTGAGATATATGTGGTTGCATAATTTTGTTACTGTCTGGTATTACAGCTGATAGATAGACAATTTTGGACTAAAGGAGAAACTTTTAAGTCAAGGAACAATTTTCATGTGCCTCTCATATTCTGACTGTTATACCTTTTGAAGGGTCTTCTTTCTGAACTCCTTTCCCATCCTCCTCCTCAAGTCCCCAGTAAATAAATAGGCTGCCTCAGTATTTCTTTTTTGCATTTAAATTGATAATGATAACTCTCTTACACAGAGATTATGAATGTTAAAAACAAAAGTTATGTTTAGAAATGGATATGGTAATAAAACATCTTATCAAATATTTTTGGGGTCTGAAGAAATGAATACTTGGCATTCGTTCACTATTTAGGAATCTAGTTGAGAAAACCACAATGGAATTAGAAAGCAAAAATAATTGAGGCAAGTGTCCATGTTAAATCACAACTGACTTCTGTTACGATCTTCCTTGTCCCAAGCAAAACCATAAAAACTTTCCTTGTAATAAATTCTTTGTATTTTTTCATACAAACTCCAGCCCTCTATAAAAGCTGCCAATTATGAGTATGCACTAAGTGTGAATGTATTTCATGTGGGATAAGCAAAAAGCATATGTGGTTGGTAAAAATTTATCTCAAATTTACAAAATGATACGTGTAGATCATTAATCATGTGAAAAAGTAAAATACAAATCAATTCTAAATTATTAGCTTTTACCAGTCCATCTTTTTCTGTAAAAAAAAATATAATGGTATGGCATGTAGTTATAAATATCCTTTTTTCTCTCATCACAAAAAAAAAATCTTTTCTTGTTAGAATGCTGCTCTATACGACAAATAAGTAAGGATAATAATATTCCTTTGTGATGTGAAGACAGTATATATTGTAGCAGAGTTGTGACAATCTGATATATTGTACAGTGAATGGGAATCATATGTAAAACATTAACTAGGTATAAATGAACAAATGAACCCAAATAAGACTTCTGTACAATATATAACTGATTCAGGAGAGATCACTGGTAAAATAAAGGCCACAGCTGGATCTGTCATATATCATTATACATCACCATTAAATGCATGGGCTTTTCTATTACCAGGTATAACAATGCTCAGATGTGGAAATAAAATCATGAAATTAATAATAACATCAACACAATAACACCATGACCATAAAAAATATTGTTCAAAATCTCTTACTCAATTTGTCCAACTTAATATATATTTGTTTTTAGTAAGAACAAAATATCCCATGTAATATTTCATTAAATTGTTTGTGTATAAACAATTGCAAAATTTCTTAATCACTGGAAAATAAACTACAGAGTTATGAATAACAAAATACCTTAGTATTGACAAAATGGCAGAAAAACACTGTCCACAAAGATGAGAACAACTTAGAAATCTCTCAACCTTCATATTTTGACTTGAAGCTGAAGTCAAGGATGATTTCAAACTTGTTAAACTCCTCTTTCAATAAACCTTTTTCACGAATAGTGTTTAATGCTCGCACCTTCACTTATCATTCAAAAGGAAAGGAGAAAGTGATATATCATACAAATCTGGGGGTTACTAATTTACTTACTTAATTATATACGCACAACTCTGTGAAGCAATTATTTGCATCTAAAAGATTTACGTTTTTTATATCTAACTGATTGCATTACGTACAAGAAAAATTCCAACTTGCAGGAACTTTCAACCAGAATAAGAAAGCAGTTGCTCGAAATCCTTATATCAAATCCGTGCTCTCTGGCTGCATCTGATTATCAATGTCCAAAAAGTATATGTCAGTAAGCCTTCCTATTCCTTCACAAACATAAAAGTTAAAGCTTTTCATTTACAATGCATCACCGAGAATGTATGTGTGCGTAGGTATATGTGTATCTATAAATTTATATTTGCTTATACATATACAAACAGGCATATAGATACATCCACACACACATAAACACCAACTAACGCACATACACACATACATACACACTCATAAACACAGGGAAGCTTGCATGCATGTAAGCATGTATGCACATGTGCAAACAAACAAACAAACAAACAAACAAACAAACAAACAAACAAACAAACAAACAAACAAACAAACAAACAAACAAACAAACAAACAAACAAACAAACAAACAAACAAACAAACAAACAAACAAACAAACAAACAAACAAACAAACAAACAAACAAACAAACAAACAAACAAACAAACAAACAAACAAACAAACAAACAAACAAACAAACAAACAAACAAACAAACAAACAAACAAACAAACAAACAAACAAACAAACAAACAAACAAACAAACAAACAAACAAACAAACAAACAAACAAACAAACAAACAAACAAACAAACAAACAAACAAACAAACAAACAAACAAACAAACAAACAAACAAACAAACAAACAAACAAACAAACAAACAAACAAACAAACAAACAAACAAACAAACAAAGCAAACCAAACAAACAAACAAAGCAAAAAAAACAAACAAACAAACAAAGCAAACAAACAAACAAACAAACAAACAAACAAACAAAC